TTCAAACACTTGGTTTACTTTAAATTTTAAATTGAACATAATGTTTGTTTGGAATAAATTTTAGTAATAACGTTTCAAAACAGATTTCGTAAAAAAAACGAAAAAAATTTTTGGCTTTAACTAATAATATCTTCATAATTATCGTGTTCCCAGACATGGCTCCATACAAGAAAATAATAGTAACGATGGGAAGAATGCGTAGTTCTCGTTTTTGTTAAGGGTTATTTTACACCCTGTCTACAGTATAATTTGTAAAATACTAACAACCTCCCAGGACTATATCACTATTTACTAACAACATAAGCAACAACTTTTTCACGAATTTCAGTTATTCGTCAGATTTTACTTTCATACAAAAATAAATGTATTTAAATGGATCGCTCTAAATGGTAATAACTCAAAGCAGAACGGGAGGTGGACGCTGGCACGTTTGAATTTACCTTACAACCTAAGACGTGTCAGATATTACAAAAAAAGTTAATTTTTGGTTAATTTATTGTGTTTTGTCAAATGTCAATAAACAAAAGTTGTTGTTTATTCCGGGTTCACGAGTCTCTCACGTGGCTCGCTTCGCGCATACGCAAGTATCTGTCGCGTATGCGCAGGTAGGACTGTTCACGAGTCGCTCGCTTGCGCCAGCCGCTTGCTTTGCGTTGAATTTGTTTGCGTTACGTGAGTATCCAGCAAGCTTGATATTTCCACGCAAGCAGCAAGGAACGTTTGCGGAAGACAGCACCACTGGCCAATCATAGAGCAGTAGCCAGTTCGAGAGTGTCGACAACCCAAACAAAGGCAAATGTGAACGCTTTTACGCGGATTTCAGATTTCTACGCCGTGTACCCAGCCAAAGTGAAAAATGCGAGTGAACGACTCGTGAACCTCGTTAGTGTGTTGAAAACAATTCTGCATAGAAGATATAAGTTTTAATATTTGTGTACCAAATACGGGCGCCACACGCTTAACTATACGAGTGATCATAAATACGTCGACTCATCCGAAGAACAGAGTCCGATGTGAATAGCGAAAAGAGAATAAGTACGTTACAGAATAATTTCCTTATTCAAACTAAGGCCTACGTAAAGGTGTTTTGATAATTTATATACCTATCTTGTTTCGTTTTGGAAATTATAAAATTGAACAACAGTCGATCTGACATTCACAGCGAAGAAGAACGAACGAAATGTACTATGTCCTGAGAATAAGTAGCCTTGCACATAGACCCTTGTTCTACGGATGTGTCGACGTACATAAACTGTATTTACTTACCGTGTATTCTTACAAATAAATACTATTTCGATTTATTTTCATATTCTTCTATCTGACTATACTTAGATATGTACAGCATAGATAATTTGTTGTTAGTTCTTAGAAGTCACATGAATGCCTTTCTGTACTTATTATTGTTATTACTAATCCTAACAATATCACTTGGGCGGGCAAATTTTGTCTTCGGTTTTCCCCCTCTGGTGTTGCCATTATTCAAGCAATCTCCCAATAATTTTATACTTCCTTCTAGTGATGTAGGTATATATATATATAGTGATTATGTTAAGTTTGCGATACACTGAGAACTCGTCAATAGTTATTTTTGTTACCTATTTATAAAAATTCCGATGTGAGAGAGTGAAATAAGTACACTCACTTGATAAAACATGAAGTTACAATTTAGCCAGACTACTAATTGATATTGTTATTTATTTGCATGAAATATGTTTTACACAAGGTTGTGTATAGACACATAACAGTTTAATATTTTACCAAAAAATTTAAATTTAATATTGTAACAACCACAACTTTAACACGTCATTAGTTCCGTCGCGCCACCGCTAGATGGTATTACTTGTACTCTGAAACGCCCTATCGTTTTGTTAACTCCGATAGTATAACTCATATGTTTTGAGTAGGACCACAGTATTGAAACGTAAGTTACGATAGTGTACTCCAGAGTAGTAGCGGATAAAAGGTATCGTACTCTTAAAAGTATCAAAACAAAAGTATCCATACCTCAAGGTATCGAAATTGATCCTTATAAATGTCAGTTCAAACGTTTCTAATTAATTTTCTTCATTCTCATTCTTATAGACAGGCAAAGGGTGGCATACACTATTATAGCCATGTCATTTGTGATGAAGGTATGCCTTTTAAAAAATTTCGCTAGGTGACTTGCGCTGTGTCCTAAGTAGGAATTATTAGAAACGATACGATACGATACTTGTCAAAAAGCACTAATACCATAAAAGTATTGAGTACAAAAGTATCGAAAGGTAAAGTACTCGATACCAAAAAGTATCGATACTTTTTCCGTGTCCCTAGTTTTGATTTGTTAATGCTTTCTATCGCAATAGCATTTATAAGGCACAGAACGGCACTCAAGTTGTTGAGACGATTCGATCCTATTACTGCTACGTAAGGTAGCAGAAACTGGCACTGAACTTGTGTGCTTTCACGCTAGTGAGACATCATACTATTGTGTCCATAACCCTGTATATTTACCCTATTTGTTTTTGATAGTATACGCCTTTCTACACGGAAATCTGCCTCTCAATTCGTCGTACTACGCAACCCTTTCGTTGCGCAAAGAATGAAAGATGAAACTGGTTTCACGCACTTTCTGGTTACCGATTTCAATAAAACTTGGTAAACTCTACGAACTTTTGAGATCGGTTTTTTTGTATAAAAATGTATGAGCAAATTTTTTAATAGCGAGTTCCTTGTTTGTTTCAAAGAGTTTGTCCAGAGAATAATGATAACAATAATAACGCACACACTCAACATAGCCCGGCACTAGGGAAACCCTGTGTCGCGGGTGCCATGGACACACACATAGACAAACACAAATTACACCTAAACTCACGAGAGAAATAAATGTAGGCCATACAAATATTTCTCCCAGCACGGGAATCGAACCTAGGACCTCTGCGTGGCAGTCCAGTATGGTAACCGTTCGGCCACGGAGGCAGTTGAATTTTTTTTTTTAAGTTAAGTTAAATAAGAGAAAAGCTGCTTAATTATTTACAGCAGTAACGTGAGCATAACTATATGAGAGTTGTCAATTTATGTCTCGAGGTGACGGGCGATGTGGCAATATCCCTCAGGTCTTTGCGGCTTAGAGCTCAGAGTGGCACTGCAACTGTCATAGACAGGCGTGTCGCTTACCATCAGCATAACTTGTTCATCCCGTGGCTTAATATCATTAAAAAAATATGTAGTTGTCGTTGGCACTGAACACTCAGATTATCAGAAAAATAGAGAATTTTTTTATCTATAGCCGGTTAAAGCTTTCCTTACATTATTAATAGTAGAGGCAGAAGTCACATTTTTATTACTTGGTGAACCACTAAGCGCTCTCTCAGTGTGTCACAGCCATTTGTTTTTTACTGCCTTCCATATATGTAATATGGATGATTAGATTACACTGGATTACACTGTCTGCACTCTGTGCTAATGTGACGAAAAGTCTGCCATTTTTAATTTTTGTTTCGTTCGTTGGAGTAATACGTGTGTTTTTGTTTTGTTTATTTGTGGTTTTTAATTATTTCTAAGTTATTTTGTGTTTTCTTTTACATCTTACGGTTTTGAAAGGTCATTTCATTCGAGGTGAGTAAATAGATGTATTTTGTATTAGTTTCTCGATTAAACTGCATCTTTTTGTGGATCTGTACATAAGTATCGAGGGATCCGTTTGAAATCGCAAAAAGTGTGTGGTGTTGTCTAATTATAATAAATCTACTACTCGGAAGAAAGAAAGGCACAAGCAGCAAATTAAAATTTCGGTGAGAAATGAGTTTAAATATTTGTTAGGTTTTTCTTATAAAAAAATACTTAGAATGGTGTTTGATATGTACATAGTTTAATTTATGGTACAAATAGGTGTATACCACGTTTTATACAGAAACTTTAATTGCATTTTAAAGAGATGTTTTAAAAAATGTCTTAACTTAGTAGAAGATAAAAATAAAAATATTGTTACGACATATTTTAAATGTGAGTTTTGAGTCATTAATAGAACTAAAGGGCCAATTTATTTATGTTTATTTGTTTACTTAACGAAATAGATTGTCTTGGAAAGAAATATATAACTTAAATTAAAAATTTACATCAAATTTTAACGATAATAATAATAACAATGTCCATTAAATATCCTTAACACATTTGAATACAAGCTGTATTCAGTTGTGCCTTTTTTTATTATTATTCTACTGTAATTGGAGTACACAATAATGGCTCCGTCCGTACATTAATAAGTAAAATTCTGTAAAAATGTTTTACACTTAATAAACGTGAAATATAATTTTTTATTGTAAAAAAAAATTTGATTGCTGCTGTAATTTATAACTGCCTCTGAGGCCGAACGGTTACCAGGCTGGATTGCCACGCAGATGTCCCGGGTTTGATTCCTGGGCCAATAGAAATATTTGTGTGACCTACATTTATTTCTCTCGTGAGGTTGGGTGTTGTGTTTGTCTATGTGTATGTAGACGGCACTCATCATACAGGGTTACCCAGTAGGCTATAAAAAAAAAAATTGTGTTCTTTAAGCTTGCTGTATGTTCAAAAATTATTGACATAATATATTTCTAAACCAAAAATAGGTAGATTGGTCTACTTTTCCTTCTTGTTTTTCTTTTTCCTCTTCTCCCTGTCCTTATCCCACGCTAGGTGGGATCAGCACAACATGTATTTTGCTTGTATTCCTGATTCCGAATATGTAGGTATCTCAATTTTTATAGAAATGTTAGTCGTGCCCTATTTTAAAAAAAAAAAGAAAAAAAAACTTTATTGCACAAGCATAGACAAACCAGAGAAACGATAACAAAAATAAAACAAAAATAAAAAATATTTTAATTCCGAGGGCTGAAATTATTTTGTTTGTGTAATTGAATGATTGTTCCTTTGCATTAACATACCTATTATGCTATTTGTAAAGGAACCAGCTAGAGCTTCTTCTGCATAGAAGGTGTACTTCGAGTAACCTACTGTACTATACGGTGCAGCACAATAACATCTTCAGGTTGCTGTTAGGACCTGCCAAGGCACTGCAGCGCGTCAGGTATGTAGGCAGTAACAAGGACTTAATTATTAAATTATCTAACCTCTGTTTTAAAATCAATCAATAAAATATTTTTTTTTGTACCTGACAGGCGGAATACACCACTCCACCTGATGTAAAATATAAGCTGGAATCCAAAGGTGATTCTTTTACAACTAAAGCTTTAAAAAAAATATCATGATGTTCATTAGCAGTAGAGCTTCTTGTGAAAGAGGTCGTCCAGGGAAGTACTGCCACCTTACCCTTCTGCCCCCAAGAAGTAATGTGACCATTACTGTGTTCTGGTTTTAAAGGTTGCTGGTGAAATTACAGGCATATGGGACTATACAACTTATGTCTCATGGTCAAGGGCGCACTGGCGGTGCCCCTCAGATCTTTGTGATTTAAAGCTCTGAGTGGCACTGCAACTGTTATGTACAGGCGTGTCGCTTACCATCAGGAGCACGACTTGTTCGCCCCATCTTTAAAAAAATTAAGCACAACACACACTTTTAATAACTCAATTTTAAATTACCAACTTTGTTCAACAGATGGCAGCACCAGCTGTAGGCATCGATCTTGGTACTACGTTCTCCTGTGTCGCAGTTTTCAGGAATGGCAAGGTAGGAAATCTTCTGGCGTATTTTAGACCAGTGTCAGACCTAAAACTAGTTCTCACCTTGGGTAGGGCGCGACGTGAGGCGGGATCACTGGTTTCACTCAGTTTTGTCACTCGCTGTCGAATGGAGGTTGTTACGGACGGCCGTACGCGCCTGACCGGTCAGAGCAATATTTCCACCCTCACCGTTCCTCCTTCGGTCGACTAGAAGGTCCGGAGCACTCTATTCTTATGTCGTTGATATTCCACCTATTCGCACTAAGCGCTTTGTTTCCTCCTTTCTGACGCGTACGGCAAAGAAGTGGAATGCTCTACCGGCGCATCTATCGGCATCTGTATTTCTCGAACAGTACAATTTGGGGCTATTCAAGGCTAGAGTGATTGGGCATTTTTTATTGAGATTGTGGCCAAGCGTGTGTCTATTATATATTAAAAAAAAGTCCTGTTTCATTTATGATAATCTTTCCTCTCCTCATCCTTTGATGTAGAAAATCAGTATAGGAATACAGTATCTTTTTTTTTAATATAACAAAAAGATCGAAAAGCTCGAAAAAACCCGGTCTACCTGGGATTTGACTATACTATGACCCGAAAACACGGGTTTTCAAAATTGGTCCTGGTTTCGGTGCCCTAATCCTCTGGGAGTGGGAGGGAAGACCAAGTTGAAGATGATCCAGCATATGAAACGGATAGTGAAGAAGTTTCTTCTTTGAACCAACAAACGTTTCCAGGTCAAGATGTTCCGACAAGTAATATAATACATCTTCATTATCATCAATAGAAGACTCGATACCAAGCATTTCAACACAGACCTGAACCAGACGCGTTCACTTGCTTCCCGCCATCGAGGACGTAACAAAGTTCTTGCAGTCGAAAAACTCTGCGCTGGCCTTTGTACAATTTGTGTGCGTTATTTATATAGAATACTCAACATTGCATTCATAAGTAGTTATGTTATTTATGTAAGTAATGTTATGGAAGCAAATGAAAAAGCCTTTGTCGAGACGTCAGTATTTAAAATGGGGAGTAACACATGTACAAAAGAGTAACAATACCAACCCTCCGAATTGCTCTGCGAGACTCAATTTCATAAATTTAAAAAATACCAGGAAGTTGTTGTAGTAGTAGTACTACACTTGAAACTGAAGAAAGTTGCATTTTATTCCTAAACTAAAGAAGAACATCTGTGTGATGTGCCCCTTTGCAAAGTGAAGGATGACGGAAAGCAGTTGCACTAAATGCAAGAAATTGTTGTGAAAACAAACTTGAAGTATGTCGTAGTGTTGTGAAAACAAACTTGAAGTATGTCACAAATGTTTTTAGTTCCCAGATTTGTACCAAAATGTTTTGTTTTTTAATTCATTTGTTTTGTTAATTTTAATATTTTAAGTTTGTTTTAAACATTGTCTTTATGAATTTAATATGTAAACAGTTTACAAATTAAATAAATGTTGATTTTGCATGAAAACGATGATCTCATATAAAATACTGTTTCTAATTCATATGTTGCATTAGTTAATATGAAGCATAAATACATACATTGGTACAAAAATTAATACAAAAAATATCTATATTTTATTTCGCAAAACCTTTGAAATCCGTTTTTTTCTATAAGCGTAGTCGAAACGACGAAGGTTCGTAATAAGCGTTGAAAAATAAGTTTAGTAATCTAGAGTTAAAATCGTCTTCCCATCTAAAGAATGGTCTCCCTTTCTTCCTTTTTCCCTCTCTTGGGTACCATTCCACAATATCCCTTGTCCACTTATACATTTTTTCTATCATCGTTTGTCCTGTCCATTTTTGCTGTTTTATTACGTCTGTGACTTTTCTAGTCTTCGATTTGCTTTTAATTGTGGTCAGTTTCACTTTATGTTTCAATTTTTTTTTAGTACGTGACCATGTCTGACATCCATATGTGGTCACCGGTACAATGCACTACTATGAATAAAATTTGTATTTTGTATCAATTTCTTTTGTTTTCAGGACTTTTTTGAGTGACCAGAATTTCGTCCAATAGAATACTATTTATTTAGATATAATTTTTTTTCTAAGATTGGTGTAATTTCACAAAAATAATTGAATATCATTGTGGTGAAGCATTCTGACATTCAATAAAAACTTAACTTAATTAGATAGAAATAAGTTACAAAATTGGTTTAAATATTAAGTTCTCAGGTTTCCCCGATTACTAAACATTGAAAATGGAACAATTTCTTTCTGGTCTAAATCACGTTATATTTGTATTTTCAAACAAACCAAAGTTGTGTCTAATATTAATGCTATACCAATGTATTTTGAACTGTAGTAACCAAAGTTATTAATATAATCAAACCTAAGTCAGCCCTGACCATGGGGCCTGTAAAATGCCCAACTCTTGGTTTGTTTGAATAAACAAATATACGCGCTTTATATCTAAATAAACAGTTTCATTTTTAAACTGGTATCCTTCTAATTAAAAATAACGCTTTATGACTAAAATATGAGGTTATGTGTCATCATGAGATGTCGGCTACATTGGTTTATATTTTCGGCCCTTTCTAAAGAAACAACTTGGATGAAAGTTCATAGAATTGTCGGCCCTCTTCATCGATCGCCGGCTGCCGCTTCCACCGGGTAGGACGGTGAGTTGATATCGTTGTTGGGTGCGATTACGTCTCTAATGTCGATCATATAACTACGTCAATAAACGCCGTTGAACATATGGAGACTCCAAGCGTCTTTCTTCACCCTCCCTCTCTCGCTTCGTATACCTATTACAATTGTTATTATTATAAATTGCAAATGTACTGTGTTGATTATTCAAAGTATAAATGATTTCTATTTGTTTATACATTCTTTGAATCTCGTATTGTTAAAGGTGGACGTGATACCCAACGCCGATGGCAACCGCATCACGCCGTCGTACGTGGCCTTCACGGACACCGAACGACTCGTTGGCGACGCCGCCAAAGCCCAGGACGCGGTCAACCCGGAAAATACAATTTTCGGTATGTTAATTGAATCGATCCTATAACTTCCATTTACGAAATAAACAAATTATTGCGAATGTGAACAATGTGTTCGCCTAAAGCTATAATTATGTTCCATAAGAACATAATTTTGCGACAAAGCTCTTATTGACTTTTTTATAGTTTTTCTAGCTTTAAGCAAATTTCAGATTAGGGAAAGATCCTAAATTATTCATAGATAACAAAATAAACCCTTAGTACGTCACATTTTCTAAATGTGTATTTGAAGAAATACCTAAATTCGCGCGCGCTTCGCCCGTACTAGTCAGAGCCGCCACGCTTCCCCCCCTGTCCGCTTTAGTCCTGCTTCGTCGTCCGACGTGGGGGGAGGTCGTCGCTTAGGCTTACACACAGTTATAGAAACGTATGCCACACGTACACGGAGCACGAAAAATACCTAAAATCAAGCTCGGTGCCCTCTTCAGATATAAGCGTTATTCCCTAACGCCGTGTGTAACGCGCGGTATCCGTTGTGGTATTTTGTATGAAGTTCCACCGGCTAGAGCGAAACCGGAATAACGCCGTACCGCCCACGTAGGCGTTATCTGTTCGCTTGCATTGCAAATCCGCTTCGTACCCACGCGGATAAAGGCCCATTTAGATGGAGAGAGTTTCTCGTCTCGAAGATGCGATTATCGAAAGAATATAAAAAAACTTTCCTCGTCTAAACATTCGCGATTATCGACCGTCCACGTGAGCGATAATCTCCTCGCCTTTCAATATTGAACGTCTCCGTGTAAACAGAACTCGAAAGCAAAAATCGTATTACGAGTTTCTGTGCTAGCCGTTTCTACCACGAGTGCAGTGCGCGAGGGTGTTTTGATTATCACTGCTTTTCTAAGACAAGAATTAATGGATGAGAGCGAAAAAAAAAATTTCAAATAACGGTGAGTGAGTGAGTGCCTCTGTGGTCGAATATAGCGTGGGCAATATAGTATTTAGGGTGCTCTCGTAACGAAGATGGCACTCCTTTCTAAATCCAGGATGAAAAGTCGTGCCCGCACTTGTCAAATAATGGCAAGTTGGGTATCGTTTTTGAGGTATTTGGGGGTGCTCATTACGAACATAGCATTTATTTCTAAATCCAAGATGGCCGACACGACTTTTCAAGTAAATGTACTTTTCAATAACCACTCCTCACTAACTCCCCACTCACTCCCTACTCAGTCCCTACTCACTCACTCACTCACCACTCACTCACTCACTCACTCCCTCCCTCCCTCACGCACTCACCCACTCACTCACAACTCACTCACACACTCACTCACTCAGCCACTCACTCACCACTCACTCGCTCACCACTCACTGACTCACTCACCACTCACTCACTCACTCATCACTCACTCACTCACTCACTCACTCACTCACTCACTCACTCACCACTCACTCACTCACGCACGCACGCACGCACGCCCGCACTCACTCACTCACTCAGTCACTCACGCACTCACACACGCACTCACTCGCCCTATAAATTTATCATAATTGTCAGTTTTGTTTGTGTCAGTAGTTATATAATTTAAAAAAAAAAGATAAATCAAATTTTTTTTATAATTCAAATTATATTTCTATACAGTGCAATGAACTTAATATTATCAGCGGTTTCAAATTTGAATGGGTTTTGCATCATTTTGATATATCCATAGTCATACCGCAGTAATCACTGAACTCGAATGGCAATTCTCGCACTCAAAACGGTTCGAACCGATTTGTACGATAATCGTATGAACTTGAAAAAATGTCATACGAGATCGTGTTTAGACAAGTCGAAAACTCGTAAGCAAGAATCTCCTTACCACATATTTCTCCGTGTAAACAGTCGAGGAGGCGATTAAGTTGCTTACGAGTCTCGTATGACATAATCGTAGGCGAGATTTTAGTTCTTGCCTGAATGTAAACATTATGATACGATAATCTTATGGCGATTATTGCTTACGAGAATCGCCTACGAGTTTTCGTCTCGAAGCGTGCGAGAAACTCTCCCCATCTAAATGGGCCTTAACTCGACCCACGATGTTAGGGACTAACGCCTATATCTAAACAGGTCATCATTTCGTATGTAAGGAAATTACGCTTGAAAATTAAACTCTACTGCACATTCATTGGGTAGACTAATCAGCACGTAACCTGAGGGTTGCTCTTTGCACAACAATAACAATTTCCCAACTAGTCAAGTTCGACATTATGACTCGACTTACATGTAACGTGATCCGTTCACTCGCAAATTGCTTTGTTTTGATATCGACTCATCCGTAGAACAAAGGCGTATGTGTAAGACTGTTTATTCTCAGAATATTGTACATTTCGTTCGTTGTTTTTCACTGTGGGTATCAGATCGACAGTTGTTCGATTTTATATTTCCGAAACGAAATAAGATATCGATTGGCCTTATTTTGAATAACGAGATTAAGTATTTATCATATTTTCGCTGTTTAATCACTACAGACTCTGTTCTTCGGATGAGTCGATATGCAATGCAATATGAATTCTAAGAGCCGCGAGCTATTTGTTAGCCCAGTGAATAACTAAATGTAGGACTATATTACTAATATATCACGACTTTTTTTACAAAACGTAATAAAGAAAGATGGATTATCAAAGCATCAAAAAAGCTAATTGAGTGCAGCCTGTAGAAGCTGGGGTTATGAAGTTGGTATAGGTTATGTTTATAACATTGTCCTGTGTTTCGCTTGTTGATGTTTGTTCGTAGTAGCAGAAAACAACAAGTTTTCAGTTTGTTCCTAAAAATAATAAAGAACAGCAAGTTCTTTCTAAATCTCCCAAACTCTGCCACATTTAATACAACGTTAACATGTTCTGTCGCAATTTAAATGAATAAAAATTAAATCTACCCAAATGGCAGAGATCTGCCACAAATGGTGACACTGTTCTCAATCTCAAAGTGACATTGACATTGGCTAAAGGCCTCTTGTCAAAACCTTCCTTTGCTAACTTTGTATCTATCATTTAAATATTGTCTAAACATTATTGTCACATTATGTTTTATTTTTTTTACTTTATGTCATTATTGTTTAATTGATTAGATATTTTATGGCTTTAATGTTTTATGAGTGTACTATAAAATAACCAATACTTTAGGTAGGTAAACATTCAATCATGCTTACAATGAAACATATGTACAAGAATGTTACGTAATCTATGGTCAAACTGAATCAATTGCGTTGTGTTCTTGCATGTGTTCTAAAATACATTGTCTTGCCATTTCTTTATTCCCGACTTCTAAAAATATACAAAAATATATTAAAAACTAGGCATAAACTAAAATGTAAAATTATACTAGCAAAGTCGTTGAACGGCACTTCGTTGATTTTGGGTCAGCTTTCGCCATCCTTGTTTAAAATAAGGTACTAATTAAGCGAAAGCTTTTTCGCTTTTATTGCATACATAAAGCTTTTTTGAGCGGATAAAGCCCAGGAATCCCACATCAATAACGGAATCGTCCTACTGTACATTTACTATACTGCAACCCAGGGATTCTTAATCATTTTCTAGTTATGGACCCCTCTCAAAATTTCAAGCAGCCTTACGGACGTATCCGAAAAGATGAAGAACCTATTGCGGTACTGCACGGATAAACCTACGCAGGTTTTTATTGTGCGGTTTAGATTAAGTATTTTTTAAATAAAATGTTTAATAATAAAAAAAATAAGAAAGGCTCGCGGGTTGCATTGACGCGTGTCTCGCTTGCTTCTATAATGGATAGCGGTCAAAGGGCGTGAAAATTCAAAAAGGTCACGCATACTACACCTATTTACTCACAACACATTGCATACCAATTTGTATATTAATGCAACATGTTAGGTAGGCTCGTCATGGACCCCCTGCGTTCATTACATGGACCACAGGTTAAGGAACCCTGCTGCAACTACACTGCGCCACGCTGTTACGTCTCCAATCAAAGTGGGCCATAAGATAGTAAGGGGTGGATGCTGAGACGTGAGATGCGGTGCGGCATATACAGCTGTGGGTAATGACGCTAGTCTGACCAGTAGGGTCCAACCCTTAATTATGAGTTAAAGAAACGACATCACTGTTGACTACCAATAATATTGTCATAAAACACTTCACCAAAAAGTGGTTCTGAATTCCAATTGTCCGCTTGTTGCAGATGCGAAGCGACTGATCGGGCGTCGCTTCGAGGACCCCGTGGTGAAGGCAGACATGAAGCTGTGGCCGTTTACAGTCATCAACGAGGACGGCAAGCCTAAGATCCAGGCCCGGTTCAAGGGCGAAAGCAAGACCTTCTTCCCTGAAGAAATAAGCGCCATGTTACTATCCACACTCAAAAGCTCGGCAGAGGCGTACCTAGGCAAACCAGTGCACAACGCCGTGATTACTGTACCGGCGTACTTCAACGACTCCCAGCGGCAGGCCACTAAAGACGCCGGCACCATCGCAGGCCTCAACGTGCTGCGCATCATCAACGAACCGACGGCCGGCGCACTCGCTTACGGCCTCGATAAAACTGAAGAAGAGGAGCGAAATGTCGTAATTTTCGATTTGGGCGGTGGAACTTTCGACGTGTCCATACTGACCATCGAAGAGGGCATCTTTGAGGTCCGCGCCACGGCCGGAGACACGCACCTTGGCGGTGAAGACTTTGATGCCCGCTTAGTGGAGCACTGCGCCGGCGAATTCGCGAGGAAGCACGGGCTGGATCTGCGCGAAGACAAGAAGGCCCTGAGAAGGCTGAGAACGGTGTGTGAGCGTGCAAAGCGTGGACTTTCGTCAGCGACGCAGGCGAGCGTGGAGTTGGACGCGCTGTTCGGTGGTGAAGACTTGCATGTGGTCATTACTCGCGCGTGCTTCCAGGAGCTCAACCAGGACCTGTTCCAGAAGACCAAAAATATCTTGGAACAAGCGATGCGCGACGCGAATATGGCTACAGACGACATAGCAGATGTAGTGCTGATTGGAGGGTCGACACGAATCCCGTGCGTTCAGCAGATGGTGAAGGCGTTCTTCGGGAAAGAACCGAACAAGACCGTAAATCCGGACGAGGCCGTAGCTCACGGCGCAGCCATTCAAGCCGCAGTCCTGGACGGTGATCCTTCTGAGATCATCTCTGATCTGGTCCTCGTCGATGTGACCCCCCTTTCCCTCGGTATCGGATTGGATGGAGACATCATGAGTGTAATCATCCCCCGGAACACGACCATTCCCACTAAAAACACCAAGAACTACTACACTATTGCCGACGACCAAACCGAAAGTTGGATCGAAGTGTTTGAAGGTGAGCGAAAGATGATAGTCGATAACCACAAATTGGGAGAATTTATTTTGTTCGGCATTCCACCATTCCGTAAGGGACAGGCTGCTGTGGATGTAACGTTTGAAATAGACACCGATGGGATCCTTGACGTTTCGGCGGTGGAAACAATCACAAAGAGCACAAACCAGATAACGATCACCAGCAACAAAGGGCGGCTGTCGAAGGAGGAGATCTTGCGACTGGTGCGGGAGGCGGAAGCCATGAGGCAGGATGACGAGGCCAGGCGAGAGGCGGCCGAGGCGAAGAAAGAGCTGGAGCGCCTTTGCTGGCGCGGGCAGCTCGAGGGACAGGGCCGCGTCAGGGACAAGTGCCAGTCGTTGCTGGAGTGGCTGGCTGATGTAGGAGCTAAGGCGTCGGCTCGAGAAATCATCGCGAAACGACAGGAGTTGCAACTGCTTTTCGATATGGCGAACTTGAAGATTTAAACCGTGCAAGGGACACGCTATTGACAGAGTAAAATATTTGTTGAAATATGTATACGCTGTTCACGACTATCCGCAGCAGGGTGATTTTAACAGGTCACTTTAACGTGTACTTAAATTAATATCGCAATGGTACTGGTTTAATAATAAGATATGTTTTGTAAGGTATGTTTGTCAGCTTACTGGAAAATATCTAAGGCTCAATTTATGTTGCGGCGGAACGGAATGGAACGGAAGCGTCAATTTCGCCTCGCTGTGCGAGAAGGCGCGCGCAGTCGCGAAAATCTTGGTACTGCGCCTTGAAGCTGTATATTAGTATAGTATTTCGTTGACATTTGACGTCATACTGCGGCCTGCCTTATTGTTAATTGTTTAAAAATGTCGAGGAAATAGCACAGCCTCAAGGCGCAGTCGCTAGAAAGCTCGAGACTGCGCGCGCCTTCTCGCGCACCGAGGCGAAATGGACGCTTCCGTTCCATTACGTTCCGACTCAATGTAAATTGAGCCTAACGTTAAGTTGTAAATAAAACTAGTAAGTATTGTTATGAAAGGTAATAAATGATTTGCTAACTAATGCTTCTTTTAGTACATTATTGCAGAGGCCGTGAAGTAAGGGATTGTTGGACGAGTAACGAGTCAAGCAATCCCCGTTCCCGCCGAGGCTTGTATAGAATTTTTCTCAAACGATGTGAGGAAATAGTAAAAGACTAAAGAGAGTAAAAACAATATGAATTAATAGCAATATTTGACGTGTTAGGACAATTGTTGGAAGAAAATGCTATTGTTTTTCCAGGCACATTAATAGTAGCGTGTTGAACTTCTGATGGTGCGTTTGAATTAATCTATTACTGTATTTTCGTTATTGTACGTCTCACTGACAAAGACTAAAAAGGAAACAATACAATGACAGTTTAAATTTTACCGCCATTTTATTTTTTTTTAAGTAAGTGGTATAGTTGGCTGTTGAGTTTTTTGTTGCTTGTTTATATAGATCATTATTAAAGTAGGTAGATCTACAAGTGTAGAGAAGTGGACAGTAATGGATTTTCATACTTACATTGCAGGCCTTGGCCGAGAAGACGTCGCATGGTCCATGAATGACAAACTTTCCGTGTTCGTGTTTTGAAAGTAATGCAAATATTTCCGAGCATGTTTGTGAAAATTCAAATTAAATTGTGACTAACCAACGGTCGGAACTGGGTGTTCCAAATGTATAGATAAATGTCTACTTAAAGATACAAGGAGTGACATACAATGCTTAAAACCGCTGAACATAAATTAATTACTATTTAATTCCAGACAAACAAATTAAAGTCTGCGCACGTACACTTTCGTGCAAAATATTTATATCATATTTTTTATTGTCTTTTTGGGAATATATATATAAAGTATAGATTAATGCGCGGGATTAATTCGGAATGGCGGCGGGACGTCGTCGTCGATGCAGTGCCCTCACTGAAGACGGCAAGAGCCGTCTGATCTACTGAACGAATCAATATGATTTGAATAGCACCAGTGACCCGATAACCCGGGTTACAAGCTTCTGAATAACCCGATCATTTTAAAACTTCGTGGGTCATGGACGCAATATGCGACTTTATCACTATAATTTTAGAGATTATTCAACAATTCATATAACACTTATTCTGGAATCGTCAATATTATTGTTGTCTCGTTCACTCTCATGTGAAATTCCCACTCACGACACGGTTCGCTTTCTCACTCTTCGTTTGGGTCGAACATTTGTTCGATAAAGCATTCGTTCGATCGAACCAAAAAGTCAAGCAATCGATCAACGAGTCAACGGGTTAACGGTTCAATGAGTCTATCATTAATCGTAATTGCTCCGTGGCGTAGTGTCCATTACATGGTATTTTTTGTAAATTTAATCTGTTTTTCGGCATGCTGTGATTATTTATGAGTGCACTAGATAATATAAAAATATTAATAAATATAAGGGGTTAAAGTATGAAATTGCCGTTTTATTGCAATAGGTTCTTTGAATTTTCATAGAATCTTCAAGTCGACCGGCACAAGTCTATGATATACCAATCGCTCTACACGGTACTCTCACGCCGTCGCTACCCGCACCCCACCACCAAACAGACCTAAAACTATTTTATTTTGCAATGTTTCAAGGTCATTCAAGATGTTTGCTGGTCTCTGTACTTTAAAATCCAACTTCAGTCAACTTTCTCTATATATCAGTTAAACTATTTCCAGAAATTAAAAAGTAATTAATATTTGGAGTTTTTAACCACTCCATGTCACTCGTTGGATCTATTCAAAACGTACTATTCGATATTTGCTAATAACGTAACACATACGTCTATGTTATTTGCGGAACACCGCTAGTTGTAAGGAAAAGCCATAGAACACAACTAACTATTACAAATTTGTCACAACACAATTGGACGTAGTTAAGCAAAAAAGGATCCAATCCACAAAATTAATAAAAATTAGTTCTATGTACCAAACGGTTCCTAAAGCCTAACCTCTAAGATCAGCAAAAAAAAAATCCAACATATTTTAAACATAAATATCTCGGGAATTACTTGACATTATAAGTTTTGAAAATAAAACAAGAAATGAAACTATTTTTCCGGATTTAAATCGCGTATATTTGTTTTTTCAAACAACCGACGTTTCGGGCCCTTTACAGGTCACATGGTCACGGTTGACTGTCAACCGTGACGTCGGTTTGTTTGAAAAAACAAATATACGCGATTTAAATCCGGAAAAATAGTTTCATTTCCTATGTGTAATAATCGCGAAAACCTAAGAACTCGAAATAAAACAAGACTTAGAAACACTTTTAAACTTCAAACTGCCACTCGAGTGTACATTGGACCCTTTTTCTTTAACTAATGTAGATATATTTTATATAACAATATTTAACAGAGTTGAATACGTTTTTCGTGTTCTTAGAGTTCTTATGGCCATTAGCACTAAACTTAA